GGTGTCCCTCAGTAGATGAATGGATAAAGAAAATGTGGTATACATACTCAACGGAATATTACTCAGCTTTAAAGAAGAGTGAAATGATGGCTTTTGCCAGTAAATGGTTAGAGCTGGAGAATGTCATGCTAAGCAAAATAAGCCAGTCCCACAAAACCAAAGGCTGAACGCTTTCTCTAATGTGTGGATGCTAATTCACAATAAGGCGGGGGTCACTAGGGAAGAATAGCGCTACCTTAGATTAGGCAGAGGGACGTGACAGAAGGGCAGAGGCAGGTGTCACCTTGGGGATTCTCTAAGTGCCCCTGTGGCTGGCCTTTCTCTGTGGCCTGGCTATCTCTCAGCTCTGTGTGGAGCCCTGGATTGCTCAGGAGGCTGACCTCCCAGGCCTCCTGGGCAGCACATGGACTCAGGCCAGCCGCCCAGTCTCCCTGGGCCTTGGTTCCCGAGGAACAACGTGGAAACGACAGGAGGACGCTCCTCACACGGCTGGAGTTAGAATCAAGCAGAATTAATGTAAGTGCAATTAATGTAATTACTCTAAGTTAGAATTAATGCACCTGCACGAGCGGCACTGGGTGACCCGGGGGAAAAAGCTAGCCATTGTGTATAGTAATATCATCACTATTGGCATTGATCACACTCCACTATTTTTTTAAACACTGAGATGGACACTCTTTTATGGCATTATAACTCAGTTAGAATCATGGTGCATAACTTCCCAAGCGCCTTATAAATTTAACTTTCATTATGTATAATTTGCTTGGAAAATTTTTCCCTTAAATAAATAGATGTGTATTGAACTCAGATGCTCTTGTTTATGAATCTTTGACTTGAACTTTTAGTTCTGAGAATCAAACTGGTGGTAACTGAAAAGCCACGTACTATGTTTTTAGTTGGTTTCAACCAACGGTATTGACGAGGGTGCCAACCCTGCCTGGGATGCAGAATAATTAAGTAATCATCAGAGGTCAACAACACATTTCTTCAGAAGAGCGCTGGGTGTACGACTCAGACATCATGCTTTTATTAGCCTTTATCAGTGACCATTGCATAATTTAACTCGGTGAGTGTGTGCTTGGGGGTTGTCAGTTATCAGGTAATAGAATACCATCTTATAAACAGAGGCCACTGAGTGAAAATTTCTCCAGACAGACGTTATACTTTTGAATCCATTGCTGAAACTGTGTCCCAGCATTTCTGTCCTGTCTTAAGTAAACTCGTCTCAGAGCCTGGATCTTGAAGCAACCAGTACATTAAGACATTTAAGAGTCACCGCTGTTCCTCTGTCTTTGGAACTGCCATCGAGGGCAACTGACCTGTGATTTTAGAGGGATGCCGACAGCAGTCACTGGGAGACTGACCACTGGAAATGCACAAAGGGAAACGTTGAGGACAGAGGGTGGACGTGTGCAGCATGCCGCTGCTGTCCCAGAGGGAACTGAGAAGGGAGTAAGACTGGGTGTCCAAGAGAGGGGGCAGTTCAGTATCTTGTGGTGTATTCACCACTGTGACTCCTCGGTGGCTGCTCACAACAGTTGTCTGGAGAACGTGCATTAAGTTGGGGAATGGGGACTGTCTGTTAGGTGACTCCAGCCATTGGTGAACAGCACTGTGGCATTTTAGATCAGCGTGAGGGTGCCCTTGAGGGTGGGCACAGACTAGAAGGGCACACTCACACACTACCTTACAGAGCAGTGTTAATCTCCGGGCAAGGGTATGGGCGATTTTAACATGTGCATGTGTGTCTGCAGTTTTCCAACTTCCTATAATGGTCCCACTTGTTAGTAGAGAAGACATGGACACAGTCCCTCAGTGAGCCCTGGAGGGAGCCAGGGCTTGCTCAAGGCACACAGTGCAGGTGACTTTCTATCCCTCAGCACAGCCTCGTGAAGCACAATGACTCTCACTCCCACTTTGCAGAGGATCAGCCTGAGCTCAGAAAGCACCTGTGCCTGTCTAAGGTCAGCCTGCGGGGGATAGGCACCTCTGAGATCCTACTCACGCAAAGCTGGATCCTCGGTCTGTGATTTTAACTGCACTGAAACTATGAACTCACACTTTGTACTCATTTTGCACATAGAGATCCAGGCCACAGAGAAGTTGCCCATGGCGCAGTGCAGACTCGCTCCTCGTGCCAGCCGGCTCAGGGCCTTTGGGGAGTGGACGCTGTATAAAGGTAAACGACTACCAGGAGAATAAGAGTGCTCTTTGTTTTGCTTAGAAGATGGAGACTACAGTCCTCTTGCTTGAACCAACCCACTAATGGGTGTAGAGTTCCAAAAATCAAATAAACCTGCTCTGAGAATAAAGTATCACTGCTATTTGGCTCCACTGCTCACAGACACATAGGGCCAAAGCCATTTCCCCCTCTGAGCACGGCCAATGCACTGCTCCCTGTGCCTGGCATCCAAAACCTGAAGGCAGTTCCGCTTCTAGATCATTAGAGATAGAAATGAACTGGAGGCCAAGTGGAGGCTCCCAGCTAACAGCCCCAGAGCTTCCCTTGGCAAAGAACTCGGGGAATCAGGGTTGCTCTGCGGTGCTCGCTGGCTTCCGGGCCAAGAGCCTCCTCCTGCAGGACGGTGGCACAGTCACCCTCCTGCCTTTGCAGGCCTCAGGGTGCCACATGGAAGGAGCTCCAAGTCACAGCACATGCCTCTCCACCTCAGCACCAGGGACAGTGGCTGGGCAGCTCTGTGGAGGTGTGGGAGGGACGCCCTGCACTGTGGGACACTCAGGAGCATTGCTGGCCTCTACCCACTAACACTAGCAGCACTGCCCTGAGTTGGAAAAGGTCTAGACCCCAAAATGTCTCCAGGGGTTTCCAGAGGACTTCTGGGAGAAACCGCCCCCACCGAGAGGCACGGATCACGGCTCATTCCCAAACCTGGGATACCATGTCCTTTTGGAAAGGGCTCGACAGTCCACGGTCAGAATGGGCAGCTGCGCCTGCCTCTGGAGCTTACCCTTCTGGCCGTGGTGGACTGGGCCAGGAGGACACACTGACCACGTTGGCCCATAGTATTCTGTCTTCTCAGAAAATGCATTTATGACCCAGGAACCAAGTCACATGTACTTGGGCCCTGGAGCAAGATGAGAGTGGTTCCAGGGAGTGAAAGCCGGGTCCTTCCTCTACTTCTAAAGACAGCAGAAACACAGATCCTGGAAGGGAATCCGGGCACGCGAAGAACGAGGCAAGCCGGTCAAAACAGCACATCCCAGAGCAAAGCAAGGGCAGCTGCCTGCCGACGCTCGGTGCCGTCAAGTCGGGGGGATTTCCCTGACTGGTTCCCCGGGGTTCCTCTGTCCCCTTCATACGTGCACCACGTGGCCCAGCTTCTGTGTGCATCTGTGTCCGACCCTCTCCTGATTCACGAGGAGGGTGTGTAACACCTGCCAATCAACAGGTGGCCCTCCCCACCTCTGACGAGCAAGGAGGATGGGGTCCTGGGCCAAGAGATGCAGGTTCTAAGTCCTGCTCTGTGACCCGTGCACAGGCTCCTCGGAGTCCCGACCCTCCTCTGAATCATGCTAGGTAACGATGGAGAGAGACCTGAGGTTCCCTGGAGCCACGGGCTTCCTGGTCAACTGCAGCACATTCAATTGCCTTAAGGGTGGTGGTCAAGGCTGGTACTAGAGTCCCTTAAACTGGGCTCGAGTCAGGCGAGCTATGACCAACCAGAGGCCAGTGCCACGCTGTTGAACCCTGCAAGCCTCAGTTCTTTATGTTCAAAACCAGAGGGAAGGTGTATCTCCCCATGGCAGCCAGCCTCCAAGGTGACCCAGTGATCCTGCCTGCTGTCCCCAGGCCCTGGCAGCCCGTGCCCACACTGAACAGGGCTGACCGGCACAGCCAGAGGACGTGCGGAAAGAAAGAGGTGGTGCTTGTGAGGCTGCCGAGGGACGCTGTGCTTCTGTGCTACAGTCCTTGTCCTCGCTCCCAGGGAACGAGCTGCTGCATTGTAAGGACACCATGCTCCAGTGGGAAGGCCGCCGTGCCAGTGGCCATGTCGGAAAGCCTTCCTAACACCTCTCAGCACCAGCCCAATCCTTGGATCTGGGCAGCAACCACACGGCGGACCCCGGCCAGAACCTCCCAGTGAAGCGGATCTTCATCTGCCAAATCGCCGGGATTGTGTTTGCTGGTTTAAGCCGCTAGATTTGGGGAAGTTTGTTACACAGAGACAGATGACGAATACCCTGCTTTGTAGGATTCTGGGGGGATTAAATAACAGAACATAGGGTGGGAGAAGTGTTTATCAGGGAGCTAGATATGCACTGAGCACTCAGGGAACTCTGCGTGGAAGTACCCAAAGTACCTCACCTGCTCATTAAACGCACGTGAAAGAACGTTAGGCCTGCTGTCTGACCTGCTCCACATGGTCATTCTATGTAGCCCCACTCTAAAGTTATTTCCCCAACGAGCCAGACCCTCAGATTTCAGAACCCCCCCAAACATTCCTTTAGTTCTTCCTTAAAAAAAAGCCAAAATAGAGATATTTGAAAACCCAAAGCCATATAGTTCATTTTTGTCCTGCTATGACAGAGTACCTGTGGCTGGTAATTTATAATGAACAGAGATGTACTGGCTCACAGTTCTGGACTGGGAAGTCCAAGACGGGGCCATCAGCAGCTGCAGAGGCCCTTCTCGCGGCTTCCTCACGTGGTGGAGACAGGACAGGAGGGCACCAGGGGTGGGGTCGCCCTCTTATAACCACCTGTACTCCTGGGGGTGAAGGCTCCGCGGCTCAGTCACCTCCGGGAGGTCCCCTCCCAACACCATCGCAGAGCCAACCCATCTGTAACGAGTATTGGTGGGGACAACGTTGGGTCCTATCAGGAGACTGGAAGTCCCCCTGAGGGCCGCATCCTGACAACACTCTGGCACTCGGCACCTGGATTCATCATCCTGACCCACACTTGGTTCAACCAGGAAATCTACTGTGTCCCCAGCGCCTGGAGGGACACGCAGAGAGAGCGGCAAGCCAAGGACTCACCGTCCACGCAGGAGGGCCGGTTCCTCGTGGTCCCCGCCACCTTCCCGGGCAGGCAGGAGCACTTGACGGTCTGCGACCGCTCCTCGATGCGGTTCTTGTTGCAGCACCTGTGCGCGGCGATCACTTCACAGGTGCCTCCTTCTGGCAAGAGAGGAAGCAGGGACACTGGTTAGAGCAGGCTGTGGCTTGTGTGGCAGCAGGGACGGGGGAAATCCCAGGAGAGCTCCCTCTCCACCGACAGCCTGTGTCGGAGAAGACGGGTTCGGGGTGCAGTGAACAGCCCTGGAGGAGCCGCAGTCCCGGGTGGTGTGTGCTGAGCAGCCGCTAAAACCCCGTGGAGCTGCCCGACCTGAGCGCGTTTCATTTTGGGACCTTGGGCCTGTGCTATCCTTGCATTTAGGATTCTCTGGGCTCCTGCGAGTGACAAGCCACTGTCACTTCAGAGATACAGCACTGGGAACGGCTCAGAATCAGCCCCCTCCTTCGACCTGCCCACTCTCAAGGGACTGACAGCAGCCTCTGACCAGGAGTCCTTTTCCAAACCCAGACCTCACCTCGACTGGAGGAAGGCATGCGGGAGAAACGGGAATGTGCCTTATAGGGCCTCCAGCACGCTGCCCCAGGCCACGACTTCCCTCAACCCCCACAGCCCTGCCAGGCAACCCTCGTCCAGCACAGGCCACCTGCACGTGGCCCTCTGCAAGGTCCTGACCCGTGCCACTGGGCCTCGGTGGAGGGCACCCAGGCTGGTCTTGTGACCTGCAGGAGATCAGCTAAGCCAGATCTCAGGAGTTACCAGGTGACCAGAGACCAGGAGTCCACCCTCGCACATCGAGTCCTGAGTTCATGACCCTTAGGACCCTAAGCTTTTGGGATCCAGTTGGCAGAAGCTCAGCAAGAATTTGTTAAATAACCACTACATACAAATGACTGTTGTAAACTGCAAGGGACGTGTGCACAATCCACATTCTTAGGGTCATGTGCACAATCCACATTCTTAGGGACGTGTGCACAATCGGCATTCATAGGGACGTGAGCACATGCACACTTAGGAAGGGAGGAGGGTGGAGAAGACTAGGACACAGCCCCCTCCTGCCCTGCAGAGCTCATGCTGCCGCTGTGCTTCTCCACGTGCCCCCAGTCACCCTGGGAGACTGTTCGGATGGTCTTCACGGTGGGGTGCGGCTGCCTACGTAGGTGAAGAGCAGAGGGCACAGTGCCCAGGACAGTCCCCACAAGAAAGTGAATATCAGTTGTGTCCACACGGAAACTCCAGTCTAGCGGGCAGACCGTGCAGTCTCCGGCTTTGGGAGTACTAGCCCCCTGCCCCCCGCCCCACGCCATGGAGGGAAGATGCAGCTTTCAGAGCAGCCTGCTTGGGTCTGCGTTTCAGCGTCTCCTGCTTGTCCTCGTCTGTAAAGTAGGAATGACAATAAAGCCTGCAGCACAGGGCTGTGGGTGTGGGCACCAAGGGCACGGGAAATCCAGAGGCTAGCCTCTGCTGGCACAGGGTCAGGGTGCCCAGCCAGCCTGCCAGCCTGGCCAGCCAGTGACCACCTCTGCACAGGGCTGCGGACAGCCCAGCTGGGGCAGGAGCTCCGTGGCTCTGCTGGGATGAGTGAAGGAACAGGAGGATCCACTGAGTTAACACCAGGAGGCCAGCAGTGGCTCTGCAGACGGCGGGACACAGACCCTCTGCTTGCCCAGGAATCGGGGGTCTCCTGAGTTCCGGGTTGAAAGGGCCTGGCCAGGTGCTGGCGGGGAGCATTTAGCTACCGCCTGTCCTAGGTACTAAGTCACTTCCCATTTTAGAGGTTTTAGACTTGTCACACATCAGGCTCCAGCCGTGTCCTGTTACGACGCTGGCACCAGCAGCTTCGGGAGCTGCATCTGCTGCAGCGGAGTGGCGTTCAGGAACGACAGTTAACTAGAGCCCAGGCGTGGCCCAGGTTTCCCCGGGTCTCCTACCCCCAGGGCCACCGCCCGAGGCCGTGTGCAGGAGGCCTGGAGAAGAGCAAGGTGGCCGGCGGGAAGAAACGGTGGCCGTTGCAAGATGCTGAGCAGGAGGGAAGCAGGCCCGGAACTGGACCACGGGCAGTGCCTCCCTTCTCCAGGACAGCACGGGCTTGGGGTGAAGGCAACGAGGCCAGCCACAGACTACACCCAACCCAGATGCCACGGCCACGCTACCTACTGTCCCGTCCAGAGCCACCTCCAGCTAGTTCTACAGGCCACGAAATGCCACTAATCGTAAAGCCACCGCTCGGCTAGTGTAAGACCATGGCACATTCGTGGCTGAAGTCAGCTCCAGGCAGGTGACCACCCCAGGATGTCTCTTGTGTCTTATTTGACTCACACTCAAGTGAGCAGTCACAGTGCCACAGCCACTCCCTCACCTGAGTGGCCACCTGGAGATACATCCTGTGGATAACCCGACGGCCCCTGGAGACCCGCTGGTCCCTCATAGCGCTGCTGTGGACGAGCTGCTGGTGAAACTCTGTGGATGCCCCGTCCACGGGGGATGAAGTGCTCACTGGTGCTGCGCAGCGCACCGGGCCCTTTGCCTGAGTTAGTTACAAACGACCCAGCAACTCCCAGGGCATGGCCCTGCTGTCATGAGAAGTAGGAGGACCTGCCCAGTGTCACACACTGTGACTCCAGTCTCCGAATCCACAGCTCAGGGCTCTGCGTCTTGCCAGAGGAGCCATTGCTGGTGGACGGAGCCCTTCCGGGGGGTCTGACTGCTGCTTAGCGTGGTCACCCAACCTGGTGTCCCCCTGCCCCTCGTCCCCCTGGGCCTGGCCCCACTGCTACTGCTTTCCTGTCCCCCCCCTAGGACCTGGCCACCTTGCCGGCCTTTATGATGCACCAGGCCCAGTCCCTGGGAGAGCACCCCGGCAGATCTGCGGCTCACTCTGTGTCCTCGTCTTTGCTCAAACTTTGTCAGAGGCTCACTTGATGGCTCTGCTTAAAATAAGTCACTGCCTTGGCTGCCACGCGTGACCTCCGTCCCCTCCCCCACCCCTTCCAGAGCACCCGTGGCTTTGAAGTACAGTATGTGACGTATCTGTGGTCCCCACTGGAACGCAAAGTCCCCAAGGACGGGGCTCCCGTCATTTTATGTCTGGCATATATGTCACCAGGCTTAGAAGAACTGCTCACCCACATTCACTTGATCTTCCAGACCACGTGAAGCTAGAGACGCTGTCCACGCTTCTTGCCAAGGTGCCGACTGGGGCCACGACACAGCCATACACCAAGGGTGACAATGACGGCATTCAGGACCCATTCACCTGTGCCCGTGGGCCTACAGCACAGAAGGCGCACCCTACCCTTCCACTTCGTCTGTGCTCGCGAGAGCCCATGAGAGTCGGAGCGCTCCGTTTCTCAGAAGGGCTACTGAGATGGAGAGTAACTTTTTAATGTAGGAAGCACCCACAGTGTCTGAAGAGACCCCAGGGCCCCGACCCCATGGACAGAGTCTTCCCTCACATCATCCTGGCAAACAGGCCACCATTTCTCCAAAGAGGGCAGGGGGCTCAATGACTGCAAATCCACGAGTGGTGCACCTTCGTGGAGCCTGTGCATCCAGCCCAAGACCCAGCCTCCTCTTCCTCGGGTTCAGGGATGGTGCAGTTGCACAGGAAGCTGGGGGACGCTGTGCTGAGTAGCAGGCTCCTGTGGCCTCCGCAAGTCGGACTATGGCTTCAGTTACACCCGCTGCCTGGGAACATGGAGTCCGAGTCTGGGCTGGTCTCGGGGGACCCAGGTGCTCCATTTGCGAGTACTGATTGGCCCCTCCTGCCTACTTCTCATAAAGGTTTGCTTCTCCGAGTGACCAGCTGCCAGCGACTGCAGCCATTGGGTCTTTCAATCCACCGGCCATGGCCACTTGTCTTGAGGGGACGCGGGGAGCGTCTGAGACCTTGACGGTGGGAAGCTCACTGGCTCTCCCAGCTTGGCTCTCAGGTTCTGGACTGCGGGGTCTGAGGGCCATCTGGGGGCTCAGCTGCCGTCACTGCAGGAAGGAGATGGCTCCTCTGACCACTTTAGTTTCAACATTCGGGGTAGTAATCTCCTCTTCAAGGTATTCCTCTGATGAGGGAAGTGAAAACCACTGTACTTACCTGATTATCGCCTCCCAAAAGCTCACAGTAAGTGACAGGTGTGTGATGGATGGATGGCCCATTGGGCAGAATGAAAAATTAACAGGAAACCTGCCACGGGTTTTCGTGTAATCAAACGATAGGAGCGTAACAGAGAAGGGAGGGTGTTTTGGGTGGAGAAGAGTAAAACAAGCTTGTAAAATGCAGTCCCCAAACATTTCTTGGTGGCTTTTTAAAAAAAAATTCTGTCAAGAGTCCATATTTACTTTGGCCCACACAAGACTCAGTGAGAAGTAGATCAAATTCTATGGAAATAAGATCCTGAGTTTGTATTTCCACCACAGAGAAAGAATCCCTCAACGCCACAGATGTGACCGTCAAACCTTAGCCAGTGTCCCCAGCCACCAGACAGGGGGCTGGGAAGGGAAATGCTCCCAGACACGCCCCAATACAGGGGAGAAGTGAGGATTGCCACCAGTCTTAATGGAAACCAGAATCTGTCCCTTTTAATCTTTTATTTGCATTTTTAAGGCTTACCCAGTCAACTGAACTTTCAAGCCTAAATGCCAAGGTTATTTCAAAATCATAACAATGATATTTGTCATGTAAATGCCTTTTGGACTTCTCCTCAGTGCCAACGCCAATCCGTTTCTAAATTCCATCTCCATCCAGGTTGAAATGACTTCAAGGTGATCTACGGCTGGCTGCTCCGAGCAGAGTCATTTAAGCACTCGGGAAATTGAGCTTCGCGTTTTTGCTTATGGATTATCTGGAAAAATGCCCTCTTCTGGATTCCGCCCAGCACCCGTACATCCAGAAAAGAAGACAGGGGAGGTGGCCTATTAAGCAGTGCCAGGGGATGGGTGCAAAGAGCACTCGGCCTGAACTCTGTCCATGCTACCCATGCAAGTGGGTAAAGTATGGGTGAGAAATTAGCCTCCGGTGGGAAACCCAGCTCCATAACGTGCCCCTTGTTCTCCTTCCCTTAGAACACGCCCTGCAGTCTCCAGGGACACCTGGTTTCTCACCACCGTC